GTATATATATATAAAATACAATATATATATAAAATATAAATATATATAAAATATAATTTATATATATATATTTTTAAAATAAATAAATTATATTATATTATGTGTGTGTATATATATATATATATATATATATATATATATATATACACATATAATATAATATAATTTATTTATTTAAATATATATATATATATATATATATATATACACACACACACTGTATGTTGAAATGTGTTTTTTATATATTACAGAATATATGAAAAATATTTTTCAAAATATATATTATTAAATATAAATATACTGAAAACGGACAAAATTGTAGTATTTCAAATATATGTCAATATACTTGGGAAGAATAATTTTCAATTATATTTAAACTATGTTTTTCTTCCATATGGGGTTTTTGGGTTCCCTGTTGTTCTGGACCCCACTCTGAAAGCCCAACCCACTGCTGACACCACAGTACACTCTTAACTGAAATAAATCACCAGCAGAGAGTGAATTCACACGTGGATTGAAGTGAACTAGTAAGAGATTTATTGCAGATGTCAGCATGGCTCGGTTACATAGAGTAAGCAGAATTGGAATGTGTAAAATCAATTGTTACTTGCGTTGATTTGAACTTAACCCCTTGGTGCCAGCGCCTCCCGGCCCTTTAAGGGTTTCAGAAGCCGGGAGGGTTTAGGGTCATGTGACCGCTGTGACATGCCGTCACATAATTGGGAAAGGTCCCAATCGAAAGAGGAGATCGGGACCTTTCCGTGAGTACCGGACATGTGAGCTGGGATAATTTTAATAGAACGGAAATGTGCGGCTGCTCAGAGTCTAGGCCCAGACCCTGGGAGGCTGCACATTTGCGCTCGGCCGGCGCCAAAAGGTTAAGGAGAAGACAACACTTATCACAGAATCTCAGTATTAGTAGGCCTGCTTTTCAGGAACTAAACCCAATACCTCCAACCTGAGGTGGTCGTACAGTCCCCAGTGAGCAGCTACAACTAGAAAATGGGTAGACTAGCCCACTTTGGGCCCTCAGGACCTGATAGGAAGGAGATAGCCTGAAAGAAGGAAAAGAGCTCTTTACCTCAAAACAACCAATTGTTCTTTAAAGGAAATAAAGAGTTTTCTGTGCACTTGATGGGGCCCACTTAGTGCACAGTGAAGAGAAATGTGGACTGTAACTCTCTGAGGTCAACAAGTGGCCAATCTGGTAAAAGTGATTGTTGGCACAGGGCAACTCTTCTTTGGCCTACAACATTTCTGGCACAATAGGGAAAAGGCCTCCTTAGGAGAGTGAATTGATGATGATGGGGACACGGCGGTTGGCTTGCCCTGTGGACTGACTGTCCTGCTATCAGTCCTGATGGTAAGGCTGTGCTAAGTGTGGTCAGACAATAGAGGCTGAAGGAACGAGGCCGTAACTTCTAATAACTATGTGCAATGTCCGCAAAGATGGAGCAGGTGTCAGGTTTCCCTGTCCTTGATAATGCATGGGACTCTCACCTGAGGGATGGTGTCTGCCAAGTACTGGCGGTCCTTCTCTCGCCCTCGATCAGGCCTCCACCCACTCACTGGTCCTGCCTGCAAAGTTTGGTCCAGTCACCTGCTAGCAGATTAGCCCTCTCTGCAATACGGCAAGGTCAGTGATCAGCAGACTCTCCTTGCCTCCTCTCTTTCCACTCTCTTTCCATTCTCTGGTCTGGTCCTCCTGCAGTCAGTACACTCCTCTCTCCAGATCTCCCCATCTCATCTCCAGGGCTTTTATATATATATATATATATATATATATATATATATATATATATAGCTCCGCCCACATGCCAGCTCCTCTGGGAAATGTAGTTCTTTACTACAATGTTCCTTAGCAAAGTCCTGCGGTTCAGCATACAAGTTCCATGAGGCTGCTCTACAGAGTGTGAATGCCACCGTTCTGCAGGACACTGCCGCCAGGTGTTTATTTTAACATTTTGTTACATTTGTAAAATTGATAAATATTTATTCCTAAAAAAAAAAAAATTTAAAATACCATTGCATGGAGAAATCCAACATGACACCTTCCTACTACCTATACAACCTCAGCTTCTGTCATATCCTAAAACTAATTGAAAGCATAGAGAAATGATCTGCGACAAACCGCTTCAAAATCCAGCAAGTTTTTAATAAAAAAATGGCAAAACTCACATGGAAGAGAAATATATTTGAAATATGTTTTAAAAATATTCTTCCCAAATATATTGACATATATTTGAAATGCTACAATTTTGGCCGTATTCAAAATATTTCAAAATATATTTCAATAAATCTATATATATATATATATATATACAGTTGCAAGAAAAAGTATGTGAACCCCTTGGGATTACGTGGAGTTTTGCATGAACTGGGCATAAAATGTGCTCTGAACGTTATCTAAGTCACAACAATAGAAGAACACAGTCTGCTGAACATAATACTACACAAACATTAGATGTTGCCATGGTTTAATTGCACATAACATGTAAACATTCACAGTGCAGGGAGGAAAAAGTATGTGAACCTTTGGACTTAATAACTGGTTGACCCTCCTTTGGCAGCAATAACCTCAACCAAACGTTTCCTGTAGTTGCAGATCAGACCTGCACAGCGATCTGGAGTAATTTTTGGACCACTCCTCTTCACAAAACTGTTTCAGTGTAGCAATATTCTTGGGATGTCTGGTGTGAATCGCTCTCTTAAGGTCATGCCACAGCATTTCAATCGGGTTGAGGTCAGGACTTTGACTGGGCCACTCCAGAAGGCGTATTCTGTGCTGTTGCAGCCATTGTTTTGTTGAATTACTTGTATGCTTTGGGTCATTGTCCTGTTGCATCACCCATCCTCTGCAGAGCTTCAGTTGGCAGACAGATGGTCGTACGTTTTCCTGCAAAATGTCTTGATAAACTCTGGAATTCATTTTCCCATCAATGACAACAATCCGTCCAGGCCCTGAGGCAGCAAAGCAGCCCCAAACCATGATGCTCCCTCCGCCATGTTTTACAGTGGGGATGAGGTTTTGATGTTGGTGTGCTGTGCCTTTTTTTTCTCCACACATAGTGTTGTGTGTTCTTCCCAAACAACTCAATCCTGGTTTCATCTGTCCACAGTATGTATTTTGCCAGTAGTGCTGTGGAACATCCAGGTGCTCTTTTGCAAACTTCAAACGTGCTGCAATATTCTTTTTGGACAGCAATGGCTTTCTCCGTGGTGTCCTCCCATGTACTCCATTCTTGTTTAATGTTTTCCTTATTGTAGATGTGTCAACAAAATGTTAGCATGTGCCAGAAATTTCTGTAGGTCTTTAGCTGACACTCTGGGATTCTTCTTTACCTCATGCAGCATTCTGCGCTGTGCTCTTGCAGTCATTTTTACAGAACGACCATACCTAGGGAGAGTAGCAACAGTGCTAAACTTTCTCCATTTGTAGACAGTCTGTCCTTCCATGGACACATGAACATCAAGGCTTTTGGAGATACTTTTGTAACCCTTTCCAGCTTCATGCAAGTCAACAATTCTTGATCGTAGGTCTTCTGAGAGCTCTTTTCTGCGAGGCATGGTTCACATCAGACAGCGCTTCTTGAAACCAGTAAACCCAAAACAGGTGTGTGTTTTTTAAGGGCAGGACAGCTGTCAGCAACACATCCAATATCATCACACTGATTGGAGTCAAGGTTGGCTCACTCCTGGCTCCAATTAGCTCTGGGAGAAGTCATTAAGCTAGGGCCTCACATACTTTTTCCTCCCTGCACTGTGAATGTTTACATGTTATGTGCAATTAAACCATGGCAACATCTAATGTTTGTGTAGTATTATGTTCAGCAGACTGTGTTCTTCTATTGTTGTGACTTAGATGACGTTCAGAGCACATTTTATGCCCAATTCATGCAAAACTCCACGTAAACCCAGGGGGTTCACATACTTTTTCTTGCAACTGTATATATGTACTGCATGTTGAAATGCATTTTTTTTATTAAAAAATATATGAAAAATATTTTTAAAAAATACTTTTAAAATATACTGTATGTTTTTAAAACTACAAATTTACATTTTTGGAATGCATTTACAATATATATATGTGAAAATATATGTTAAAATGACTTTTATATATGTTAAATAAAAAATCTGAAGAATGTATTTTTTAAAAATATATTTGTAAAAAATATTTTTCAGATATTTTGTGATATATGAAAAACGCATTTCAACATGAAGTATGTGTGTATACATATATATTTTATATATATCTATCTTTTTAAATATATATATATATATTTATATTTATATATACATATATATATATTTATTTATTTTTTTCTTTCAAATGGGAATAGCAGTGCTACAATTAACCTTTGTATATTTTGCGCTTCAGTGCCTTTTCATACCGCCTTCTGAATACACACTAAAGTGAAAAATTATGAAGAAGTTATATGATTCTGTATGAAATAGGATAGGGTGAGTGCTTAAATACTGAGCCAGAGATGGTCAAATCATCAGAAGATCATTACTGTGACTATAAAATCTGCAAAAATCTTAATAATGATTGTCACGGAGGACTGAAGAATTTCTATGTTGCCAAGTATACCAGTCAACTGCAGGTAGGTCAACGGTTAGAGAAGTACGAGGTCCTAAACAGATGGTGGCAGACTAATGGCGGGCGCGGTCCGTTATTTTCATCAGTTCAAGCAAAAACGGATCAGTTTACATCCATTTTTCATCAGTGTTCCATTCATTTACATCCTTTTTGGTTTGTTTTCATCAGTTTACATCTGTTTTTCATCCATCTACATCCGTTTTTCATCCATTCACATCCTTTTCAGTTCGTTTTCATCTGTATTCCATCCATTTACATCAATTTTTGTTTGTTTTCATCAGTTTACATCTGTTTTTCATCAATTTACATCCATTTTTTTATCCGTTTTACATCCATTTTCATCCGTTTACATCTGTTTTTCATCAGTTTACATCCATTTTCATCCGTTTACATCCATTTTTCATCCGTTTTCTATCCATTTCCATCCATTTTTATCTGTTTACATCTGTTTTTCATCATTTTTCATCCTTTTTTATCTGTTTTTCAGCCGTTTACATCAATATTTGTTCATTTTCATCCGTTTACATCTGTTTTTCATCCGTTTACATCAGTTTTCATCTATTTACATCCTTTTTTCGTTTGTTTTCATCCGTTTAAATCTGTTTTTCATCAATTTTTTCATCAGTTTTCATCAATTTACATCCTTTTTCGTTTGTTTTCATCCGTTTACATCGGTTTTTTTTTTTTTTTACATCATCCTTTTACATCAATCTTTGTTAATTTTCATCCATTTACATCTGTTTTTCATCAGTTTACATCCCAAAGGTTTACAGTCTCTGATCATCTCCTGTACTGTGTCTGCAGTCTCCTGTCATCCCCTGTACTGTCCGCAGTCTCTGGTCATCTCCTGTAGTGTTTCCGCAGTCTCTTGTCATCTCCTGTACTGTGTCCGCAGTCTCTGGTCATCTCCTCTAGTGTGTCCGCAGTCTCTGGTCATCCCCTGTACTGTGTCCGCAGTCTCTGGTCATCTCCTGTACTGTGTCCGCAGCCTCTGGTCATCTCCTGTACTGTGTCCGCAGTCTCTGGTCATCTCCTGTACTGTGTCCGCAGTCTCTGATCATCTCCTGTACTATGTCCGTAGTCCATTGGTTCAGAATATTTTTGTTCTTGTTTTTCTCCTCTAAAACCTAGGTGTGTCTTATGGAGCACGAAATACGGTACTTTGTGTTATAAGACACATGCAATAAAATCAAATTTATTCATAAATTTAGGCTAAAAAGTATTCTGCTGCATGTCTTTGGTAAAAAAAAAATCCCAATAAGCACTCATGCACACGGGCGTTTTGATAACGCTGGTGATGTTACCTGTGTAAAGTCACGTTGAAAACGCACGTTTTTCAGCTTTTTTAGCATTTTTGCATTAGCGTTTAGCAGCGTTTTAATTTTTTTTTTCTGCGTTTGCATTTTTTTTCAAAAATGCCGGTTTGCAGCGTTTTACCACGTTTTACCGTATCTTGACACGTTTTTTTCAGTGTTACAGCATTTTTCCAGCTAAAAAACTCCTCTAGAAGTCCACTAGTCCTGCTTTTTTTTTCCTGCCAAAAAACCAGTCTGTGTGCATGGACACACAGGATAACATGCCGGGGATGGACACACAGGATAACATGCCGGGGATGGACACACAGGATAACATGCCGGGGATGGACACATAGGATAACATGCCGGGGATGGACACAAAGGATAACATGCCGGGGATGGACACATAGGATAACATGCCGGGGATGGACACACAGGATAACATGCCGGGGATGGACACACAGGATAACATGCCGGGGATGGACACACAGGATAACATGCCGGGGATGGACACATAGGATAACATGCCGGGGATGGACACATAGGATAACATGCCGGGGATGGACACATAGGATAACATGCCGGGGATGGACACATAGGATAACACGCCGGGGATGGACACATAGGATAACACGCCGGGGATGGACACATAGGATAACACGCCGGGATGGACACATAGGATAACATGCCGGGGATGGACACACAGGATAACATGCCGGGGATGGACACATAGGATAACATGCTGGGGATGGACACACAGGATAACATGCCGGGGATGGACACATAGGATAACATGCCGGGGATGGACACACATAGGATAACATGCCGGGGATGGACACATAGGAGAACATGCCGGGGATGGACACGTAGGATAACATGCCGGGGATGGACACGTAGGATAACATGCCGGGGATGGACCCATAGGATAACATGCCGGGGATGGACACATAGGAGAACATGCCGGGGATGGACACATAGGAGAACATGCCGGGGGTGGACACATAGGATAACATGTTGGGGAGTTTACTGGATGTAGAAAAAAACGTCAAAAGCCAAAATCAGCCGCTATAAAAACGTCCCGTGTGCAGGAGGACTTAGTGTATATAAATTGGTTTATGTGAAAGTTATAACTATGGGATATATACTGGAATTTAGCACTGTCCAGCTTTAGTAAAACATCCCCACTGTATTGGTGGACCACATTTTTTTCTATATTTAAAAACATGGTCGATGAAAGAAAGGGTAACTCCCAAACGCTACATAATGTTGGTCTAAGAAAAAGCTCATTTTGTTGCACTCACTATTTTAATATGTTGTCTTTTTTGGTTTACTCACATTGAAGGTTCAGTTTTGAGTATTTTCAGCAGCTCCATGCAATGATGTTTGCAATAGACGAGATCACAAAGAACCCCGCTATTCTCCCCAACGTCACGCTGGGTTTCCAGGTGTATGACTCTGTACGGTGATACAGCAAACTTTAGAAGGAGTATTGCATGATGTGACGGGAAATGGGATGGCTCTTCCCAACTACAGATGTCTTCTAGACGTCCCCCTAAGTGCTGTCATTAGTCACCCATCCTCTACACACTCCATACTCCTGGCTCAGGTTCTCGGGATCCTCCGCTATCCTCAGGTAACTTACTCTGAGTTAATACATTCAGATATGTTATACAGTTTTATGACATTTGAGACATGTTCTTATTTTTGTGTAGCAAAGACTGAAAAGTGAGGCTTAACTAAGGTAATTAAGGGACTACTTCCTGTACGGGTTCTAGAAATTTCTTAAAATGTCAGGACAGTACATATATCACCAGGGGCGGACTGACAACTCATGGGGCCCCTGGGCAATAGGGGATTATGGTGCCCCTATGTCCTCACCCACACTCAAACCACACCCAAAAAAGCCTATTAAAAGGTACCAGGGGCATCTCATGGGGCCCCCTACTGGCCCCAGGCCCTCGGGCAGTGCCCAACTTCCCAAATGGTCAGCCGCCCCTGGATATCACAAAAAGGACCCCTTTTTGGAAAGCAGACAATCCAACATATTTAGCAAGGGGCATGGCAAGTTTTTTGAAGTTGTAATTTTTTGTCACAAATTTTTGGAAAGTTAGGAAATTAATTTGTTTTTTTACAATTTTTTATCCATGCCTTTCAGACGTTTGAATGGAGATCCAACTTAACCACTTGCCGCCCTGCTATAGTTAATTTACTCCAGCAGGGCGGCACGTGCAGACTGAGTCAGATCTATATATGTAATTATGCCTGAATGGGTTCAGGAGCGTGCTGTGCCTCCTGTGACAGCTGTGTCCACACAGCGGATCACTATTGCCGGTAAGCAAGTATCATTTGATCACTATTATTGGTCATAGTGATCACATCACTGTCGCTTACTGTTGTGATCAGTGAGTGCCCACAGCAATCACATGGTACCTGGCTACCTGTACCATGTGATTAGTGGTAGCCAATCACAGATCACAACCATAGGCAAGTTGTGCTCATGTAAGTATGATGTTGTTATTTAAATCCTTGGCGCCCTTTAAGGGTTTCAGAAGCCGGGAGGCGGGGGGGGTTTTAGGGTCATGTAACCGCCGTGATTCGCTGTCACATGATCGTGAAAGGTCCCGATCGCAAGAGGAGATCGGGACTTTTCCATGAATACCGGACCGGACGCAAATCTGTGTCTGCTTGATGTCAAGGCCCAGACGCCGGAAGGCCACACATTTGCGTATGGCCGGCACCAAAAGGTTAAAAGTTAAAATAAAAAATGTGCCTTTAACCTCTTCGTGCCGGCCGCACGCAAATGTGGGCCTTGAAGCTGAGCGGCTGCACATTTGCATGCAATTAAGAAAAACATATGTGCTGAGAGCGCGCGCCCTGTGTGCTCCAGCACATGTCCAGTACTCACGGAAAGGTCCTGATCTCCTCTTTCGATCGGGACCTTTCCTGATCATGTGACCGCCGTGACGGCGAATCACGGCGGTCACATGTCCTTAAAACCCCGCCCCGGCTTCTGAAACCCTTAAAGGGCCGGGAGGCGCCAGCACCAAGGGGTTAATATCGCTTTATTCAAGTTTATCACAACAAGATAGACAAAATAATTCTATTTATAAAGATGAAAATTTCTGTCGTAAAGTATCAGATTTTAGTGAAAAAAAAAAAAATGAATGAGTCTTATTTATTTTGATTAAAACTTCCATTTTTTTTTTCTCTGCAACAGATCAGCCATTTTTCTACAAGTCCTCTGCTTAGTGACCGAAGGAAGTTCCCTCTTTCTTCAGAAACGTTCCCAGTGATACCTTTCAATCCAGAGGTATTGCCCAGCTACTGTTACATTTTGGCTGGACATGGGTGGGCCTGCTGGGTATAGACAACGATTATGGACAGCAAGGCATTCAGCTTGTCAAACAAGAGATCACCAAGGCTGGGGCATGTGTGGCTTTCACTGAAAGCATGCTCTCCAAGCAACCAGACCGAAATGCCCCACACATTGTTAACATCATTAAAGAGTCAACGGCAATGGTGGTGGTTGTCTTCTCCAAAGACACTGAGTTTGCTGTGGTGCTGGCTGAGATGATGAGACAGAATGTTACTCAAAGAATATTTGTGGCTAGCGAGTCTTGGTCAACGTCTACTCTTTTCTCTATGGGAGCCCTTGCCCAGTTTGTTTCTGGTACAGTGGGATTAGCCCTTCACAGTGGAACAATCATGGGATTTAAGGAGTTCCTTAATAAAGTCCATCCCTTGTCACCCTTGGGAGGTAAAATGGGTGAAGATCCTCTGGGAGAAAACCTTCAACTGTGCAATAATGGATCAAAACAATGTTACAAGTGTTGCCAGCACTTCAATTAAATTGTGTACAGGAGAGGAAAGTCTTGAAGGAGTTCAGAACAGCTTCACTGACGTCTCCAACTTACGAGTTACTTACAATGCTTACATGGCTGTACAGATTGTCGCCAAAGCTTTGGAAGATCTGGGAAGTTGCTCCAACGGTCACAAATGTGCCAATGTTTCTCATTTCTACCCATGGCAGGTACTAAAAATCTTTGGAAACATAGATTTGTAAAGTATTAGTCATCATTAATTAACTTTCCTAGCGGTCTGATTATGTCCATATTTCTGTGCTCAAAGCGGTACTTTTTTTTGCATGGAAATACATATTTTTTTTATTGTAGGGCTGTAATTTTTAGGAATAACTCACTGAAATCTGTCTGAACAAGAGTCTAGTAAACATCCCGGGGATGATAAAATTTGAAACACGAAATCATAAACTATAATTTAATAAATAATTATAAAAAATAATAATATAATAATAATACATTTAATTCAATAATATAATCAAACCAAAAACACTGAAATGTGAAATAGAGCGCCAAGTTCGCACATCGCTGAGCTCAGTTGCAAAATCGTTTTCAGCGTCTGATGACGAATTTCCACAGGAATCATTATCACTCAATTCTGATAAGTCTCCTAGACCCTTCTAAACGCTACAAAACGCTATTAAAAAAAAATGGTATTACCAGTATATTTATCCAGTGTTTTTTGAGCTTTCAAAAATGCTAGTGTGCATGGAGCCCAATTGTGCAGAGGAGAAAAAACTTTTTTCTATGCACGGCATAGTGGACAATTTAGAAGCTTGTACACGGGAGTTTAACCCCTTGGCGCTGGTGCTTCCCTAAGGGTTTCAGAAGCCGGGAGGCAGGGTGGAGTTTTTAGGGTCATGTGACCACCGTCCGATTTTCTTATAGTGTGTACGGGGCATAATACACTATATTGCCAAAAGTATTGCGACACCCCCTCCAAATCATTAGATTCAGGTGTTCCAATCCCCTCGATGGACACAGGTGTATACACCTCAAGCCTCCAGGCATGCAGACTGCTTCTACAAACATTGGTGAAAGAATGGGTCGCTCTCAGGAGCTCAGTGACTCCAAGCGTGGTCCCGTGATAGGTGGCCACCTGGGCAATAAGTCCATCCGTGACATTTCCTGGCTACTAAATATTCCACGCTCAACTGTTAGTGGGATTATAACCCCACACTCTGGCTTACCATTCGGTGCTGCTCCGGGATCTGTTCTTCACTTAACTTGTCCTGCGCTCCCACGGTGTCCCCCCCTGCAGTGTCCCCAGCCATCTCCTCTGGCCGATGCCGGCATCTGTCTTCCAGGTTCCGTTCCCTGGAAGCGTCGGGATGTACTGGACATACGGGGGATGAAATTTGAAAATGACAAAACGTGACATTCACTAAAAAAATCACATAGTATAACATTACTGTATCAAACCATTTCACATACATTTTGTCCCGAGTGCTTTGTCCGGCGCCCTGCCTGCATTTTTACTGTTCTTTCTGCCTGGAAACTGAGAAACGTCCATGGCGTCCAAAAAGCGTTCCTTTAGATCAAAATCGGTTTTAGACCGGCTAGAGAACAGCGATAGTAAATCAGAACCACTTGTAGAATTGAGTGATAATGATTCGTGGGGGAAATTCATCATCAGACACTGAAAACGATTCTGCGACTGAGCTCAGCGCTGTGCGAACTTGGCGCTCTATTTCACATTTCAGTGTTTTTGGTTTGATTATGTTATTGAATTAAAATTTTATTATTATTATATTATCAGTTTTTATGATTATTTATTAAATTATAATTTATGATTTCGTGTTTCAAATTTTATCATCTCCGGGATGTTTACTAGACTCTTGTTTAGGTGGATTTCAGTGAGTTATTCCTAAAAATTACAGGCCTACAATAAAAAAAAATACATACTTATTTCCATGCAATGCAAAAATGTACCGCTTTGAGCACAGAAATATTGACATAATCAGACCGCTAGGGAGGTTAATAAACACAGCTTGGTATTGTTTACAATGGCAGAGCTGTGTTCTATCATGTTCAGTGCTGATCACTGGGTCCTGGCAGTCAATCATTGGCCAGGA